TTTTTTTTTTTTTGGTCATCTGCAATCAAAATGAGGAGATTTAAGCATGGATCTAATCTTTCATCGCCATCACACCGTGAATTTTACAAAGGTATTTTATAGTTTAGATTTCTCGGTTTGTGATTTCATTGGTTTGTATAGCAGGCTGCTTCTCTCTGGAGAAATTAAGTCTTCAGATCTGTGGTTGGCAAAGTCTTTGAGTCCTCTGCTCTGCTCCCCTTGGGGGATGGAAGTGTCTCAGGTTGGTCTACAGTGACTTCTGTCACTGAACAGTGTATAGTACTACTGTTTCAGGGGAAACTGCCAATTGGCAGCTAGACATGAGTGGTCTGGACGATTAGCAGGCTTCTGTTCAGTCCTTGGTCTTACTCACTACTGTGACTGCAGAGAGCAATCTCGTTACCTGGATGAGGTGGAAATTCAGGCATATGAAGTAACTGGCTAGGATCCAGTGCCAACTCCAACATGGCAGGGTGCAGTGTGTTAGCTCTCTATTCCCATCTCCATAAGTCCACTACACACACCAGATACACATAAAATCCAAGTCAAAACAAGCTGTGGGTTTACTATTCTTACAAATTCAAGGTGAATATAGAGCTTTCTTCCAAATGAATTTTTTTCTATAAGCTTTTCTTATACAGGAATAATGAAATTGCCCACGCCAATGGTCTAGGAGGGAATGTTCCATAGGAAACAACCAAAAAAAGAATTACAATTGGTATTTAGCTTGTTTGCTGATATTTCACATTGACTCTCCTTGGACTGTATAGCTCCAGAACAGAAGACTACAGAAGTGAAAAACCTACAGAAGTCTTATAGTCTGGGATTATAAGAAGCTGAGGGAACCCCTTATCTAGAGATATCTTGGATACCAGAAGAGACATTCTGGATTAAAGTAGATTATTAACAGGTGCTTGGTAAGTTTGGTAAGCATGCAGGAAAAAACACAGTGCTTATTCAGAAATGGCAGTATTTCATAAAAATAAATCACACCAAAGAAACGTAATTTCCTACTTAGATGCACTTCATACAGTGGTAGACAGGAGAAATGCAGGTGCCGTGTTTCATCTTGGGAGGACATTTGACAGATTACAGTGGAGGGTGCTGTTGTGCAGTGAAGTCGTCACAGGATTTAGAAGCAGAAAATCGGCTTGACTCCCCCACTTATCGGTTCCACACAATGTCACAAATCAGGTAGCTTTTCTGAAACTAAGTTTCTGTACCTGTAAACCAAGCATCTTCACGTATGTATTTTCAACCTCATTCCAAAATTACTGAATATTTGACAACTAGATAAAGCTCCAGTTTTATGGACTCACAGTGAATTCTATAGATCAATGTCAAGTTTATGTGAGGGTGGTAATGGGTATCCTAAACAACTCTAAATTTTATCAACATATTATCAATGGATTTTGTACAGATAGAGGTGATAATTTTTAAAGCTATTCGTAAATATGAGAGGGTAGCTTCCAATTGTAGTCTCTAATTATCAAATATTTTATAGCTGTAAGGCTAGACTAAAACACAAGGTTGGTGTCATGACAGACAACAACAGGCTATAACATCTGTCTTTACATTATAAAATGCCAATAACATATGACAAGATGTGGGAGGGACTAGTGGCAATAGTAATTAAAAAAAAACTTCACTGAGGAATTTAATTCAGTATAACCTACGTGGGAAAAAAAATTCAGATTTTAGGAGTTTCTTTCTTTTCCACTTGTAGAAATATTTCATTTATTTCAATTAAGCAATCATTGAATTTTATAAGTTTCTGCCTCTGAGGGACTTAAACCACCCTAGGAGTAACTATTCTATGACATAAGCTGTGCTGTGATGCAGTTTAAAAAGAGATACTGTTGGAGCAAAAAAAAGAGTACAAGGGGTAGGACTCATGTTCAGGTGTGCCTATGCCGAGCTGATCATAAGAAGCTGAGGGAACCACCGTATGGTCAGTGAAGGCTGGGGAGGTGAAGCTATGCAGAGCTGGGGCCTGAGGAGCTAACTGGAGTTATCCAGTTGAACTAGATGGAGAGGGCATCCCACGGAAAGTTATGGCTTAGAAATGCATGACACGTATTAGAAATACTGAAATGTTTTATATGGCCCACACATAGATTTGTGTGTATGTCTGGGCCAGGTTATGAAAAGATTTTAATAGGATAGATTGTTTTGTTTTGTATTGTTTGAGACAGAGTCTCACTCTGTTGTCCTGGGTAGAGTGCTGTGGCACCATAGCTCACGGCAGCCTCAAACTCTTGGGGCCAAGTGATCCTCCTGCCTCAGTGTCCCAAGTGGCTGGGACTACCGGTGTCTACCACAACACCCAGTTAGTCTGTCTGTTTTTATTTTTACTTTTTATTTATTTTTATTTTTTTGCAGTTTTTGGCCAGGGCTGGGTTTGAACCAGACACTCCAGTATGTGGGGCAGGTGCCCTATTCCTTTGAGCCGCAGTTGCTGCCCAGGTTTTTCTATTTTTAGTAGAAGTGGGGTCTCATTCTTATGTGGGTTGGTCTCAAACTCCTAAGCTCAGGCAATCCACGTATCTTGGCCTCCCAGAATGCTGGGCTTACAGGTGTAAGCCATCATGCCCAGCAGAATAAATTGAACCTCATCTTTCAAGTGATGAAGAAGATAGCACGATTTTAAATTGGGGTTATCACGAGGTTTGTGTATGACAAGAACACCTCTCAGCCCTCGGTACTGCACTCACTGATGTTGGAAGAGACGGGAAATAAGGAAAATGCTAAGAAATAGTTTAGTTAGAAATCTGAATTGACCTGGTTTTGAGCATAAAGGAGAGCTAATTTGATCCTATAGCCAAGGGCAGGAGTAAAACTGGCCTTGAAGACTGTAGAAATTAGTGCCCTTTGGATTTCCTTTTTGGTCTCTTGTCTCCTTTCTATGTCAGCTTCCTTCTCAGATGCAAGACTATTTATTAGGTTAAATTTGTGATCCTAGTTAACTCTCCAGCCAGAGAGTTTGAACAATTTTGGGTAAATGCTCTGTTGGCTAGCCTTTGGTCATATTTCAATCCACAGACAAATTACTAAGATCCAGGGATGGGCTGTTTCGATAAGCGTGGGGCTTGCCTTCCTTTTCAATGCCCATTTTCAACTTCTT